TTTATTGTGACGTTGGAGCCACAGAAGCCAGTTTGCCTGTGTTTTGTTTGCACATTAAGCAAAGCGTCACCTCACTACAGCAAAAAGAGACGAAGAGCAATGATAAACAGCCAACATGTCTGAACAGACTGCCTCGAACAGAAACAATGTTTAAACTGCTTTTAAAGAAAATCCATATAAAATACTCCAGTCCCGCCCACACGGTTTGATTTGACAGATTTATTCTTAATAAGACAAAGGGTTAATGGGAACCTGAGTCAATGATGCATCAGCAGGACTTAGAGAAAAATGAGAATATATGAATAAGCAGCAAAACGTTTTCTGCTCAGGAGACAAAACAGGCAGTAAAAACTGGCTCATCTTCAGTCGATTTCTCCTCTTAAAAGCCTTTGATTTCTGGCTGCAGGTATAACATCTATGAACCTTTACAGTCGTATTCAAACACAATTTGGTGGCGTTTTATTGATTTGAGCAGAGTTAAGATCCAGATCACAGGTTTGTTTCATGTTCCAAGACAGCGGTGTCTGCCCAGCTTGAAACTGGAGAAGAAAAACCAAAAAGGAAGAAAAGGCGTGTTCMGGTTTGAAAGGAGGAGGAAGAAGAAAAGGAATAATGGAGCAGTTTGCAGTGGGAAGCAGAGRGGGAAACACCAAAACAAGACACAAACCAGAAAGGATGAAAACAATGAGAGGAAGAGGGGCGTGTCAGGGTTTCTAACCCTCCTAYAGCGAACCAGCACCGTGTCGCCACAGAAGCAGGTGTGTGGCTGACTCATGTTTACCTGCAGACAGGAAATGCAGATATTTTGTCGACACGTCAAGATCCTGTCTTTGGATCACCTGTAAACTGAGGTGGGCAGTGACAATGTGAAGCCACTTAAAGGCACAGTGTGTAGGATTTTGTCAAGTCTTTTAGCCGAAACTGAGATAACCACTAATGACAATAATAAAAACATGTCTAATCATTGCAGACAAAGACCTTGTTTTATTATTTTTACCTTATAAAAACCTGTTTATATCTCCATGGTCACGGGTCGCCACACAGGCAGCCGCCATCTTGCACCGCCATCTTGTCTACGAAGGCTCATGAAGGCCAAACTGCGGTGGCGGCGTCAAAAACGGTTTTAGTTGTAATACTATAAATGTAATATTTGTTGTCTGTCATTGTAGCTGGGATAATTTTACTTATTAAAGCTCATAATCTTACCACTGAATATTACCACTTGAAACATCACTAGCCCTGAAGCTGCTGGTAGACATCGCGGTTG